ATGTGGATTATTATGGGACCACGTATGCACATTTTGTAAATTATTCACACCGTCCAGGGTAAAAGATGCCTCATCAGTGAATAAAATGACGCTTAACAGTTTGGAATGAGCTTTTATCCAGTGGCACAAATCCATATGCTGTGCATGGTCGCCTTGTTCCAGATGTTGTACCCTTTGATCGTGGTAAAGATACAACTCTTCATCATGTAAAGTTCGCCACACCTGCATACGTGATACGCCGATGCAAGAGGCATTTCTACGAGTGGACAGACACGGACTTCTCTGAACCATCTCAAGAATGTTCTCTCGTGTGTTTATCACTCGTACATCCTCCCTTTCAAACTGCACAGAAAAACTCGGAAGAGAACCAGTATCATGCAATGTCTGGTGAATTTGCGTAAATACATTTCGAGATGGAACCCTTCAATCGGGAAAAGGCCTTTGGTATTCTCCAACAGCAGCACGTGCATTGCCACCGCAAAATCCACACACAAAATGCTTATCACAATATTCCACATTTGAAAACACAAAAGGCATTTCAGCAACTCTGCACAATTCACCTCCCACCCATTCAAAACGAGACCACAATGTATACTGAAGGGAGCTTATAGCTAGAGTGATTCACCACATTCAAGGACAAACTTAGATAAGACATGCCAGCTGACAGGTACCGTCCGTAGACTCGCCAGAAGAACACACTTAACTCGGGCGATTATCTCCGTAACTGTTCAACTTTGGACACAGGTGTTTTGGGTTATATTGGCATAATTTAACATGAGGAACACCCTCCCGAAGTTTGGACCTTTCCTCCCGGGACATCCTGCATATATATATATGTGGTGTCCCAAGAGGAATATGCCACACTGTGGGAGGATGTTCCTTATGTTAAAGTATGCCGATATAACCCAAAACGGATGTTCCTTATGTTAAAGTATGCCGATATAACCCAAAACACCTATGTCCAAACTTGAACGATTACGGAGATAAGTGTGGTCTTCTGGCTGGTCCACGCACTGTAACTGTCAGCTGACATGTCTTTTTGATGTTTGTCCTTCTGTGTGGTGATGACGGCTCACACTAGCCGCATACACTCGCATACCAGAATGCGCAGGCAGCCGTGTTATGTTCGTGTGTACCATTCCTGTATCATGTATAGTGCATGGAACCTTAACGAAAACTACTACATTGTGTGCGAGTTTTTTTTAGTTCAATTTAATGGCTTCATGCCACTAACAAGTTACTTTGTTACGTACATTATTAACATTAGAGAAACCACATATTCCTTCCAGTATTAATATGTATCAACAAGTGTGTGACACCTATCAAAGTTTCACAATTCTCTGGCAATTATCTCCGTAACCGTTCAACTTTGGACGTAGGTGTTTTGGGTTATATTGGCATACTTTAACATAAGGAACACCATCCTGAAATCTGGCACATTCTTCCTGGGACACCCTGTATATAATTTGGCGCATTGCCTAGAGACAGTGATGCTTAATAAGTAAAGAATCAGTTGTCAGGGAACTTTCCACGAAGTAATTCAAATAGCCTGTTACAACAATGCCTAATATCACCATATATGCTCGATCCAGCTGGAACACAAACCAGTACAAGAGATGTATAAGAATTAATTCTATTGGGACCTCTTCTACTGATCAAGTGACTAAGTTTATGAAAGATACCTTTATAAATATATGGAAATTTATTATTTTCCAAATCCCATCGAGGAAATTTGAATGAATCTCTCTCTCAGAAAACATTTCAATACATCATTTAGCCAAAATTGTTATTGCTTTGTAGCGAGCTGCTTAGAGACTAGCTAGAGGTTATGCATAAATTATAGCTTTTCTGAAACTTACGTTTAAACCTCCATTAATATGGAAGTAATGCCATCCTAGCAAACCTGAAAAATAATAAATAAAACGAAATGAGAATGTTACACAGATGCACATTTCCACTCCAAATATCTCACTTGTCACAGTAATGTCAGTTTCTTCTCTTTAAAAAAGCAGGGCAAGCCAGGTAATTTCACAGCATGGCAACCCCATAAAACCCACAGCGTTATATCACTGCCTGTTTAGATGAGTGCAATCAAAAGTAACTACACGTACTGGCTACCGAATACACGAAAAATCCGACATTAATTCAAAAAAGCTAGCGAAAACTCTCTGAAATATAGAGTAGGTGTGGGGCAAATGGTGGAATGAGAATTGGTAGGAGAAACTGGAGCACAGAGAAAACCCTGCCCAGTGCCACTTTGTTCGTCACAAATATTAAGAGGTATTTTCTGACATGGAACCCGGCGAAAGATGGGTCAGCTACTAACCACCTGTGCTATGCAACGGTCTACTCTAACCCATATTTAATATCAAATTATGTATGCTAGCAACTGTGGATCCATTCTGTTGATGCTTAGAATTGCACTATAAACAGTGTGGATTCATCTACTGATAGTCTCACTGGTGAAAGGGGATATCGTATCTGTGGGTTATGAATCACACGACAATACGCGAAACATGTTACACATTAAATGTAACTTGATTATCAGGACGGGATATTCGCCAGTTCAATGGAAAGTCACGCAGATCACGTGGTTCCGGAATCTGGAAGACCACAGCGGAAGCTAGCTCATATAGACCTATGAGCCTACTCCCAGTAAAGAACAAAATCTTCGAAAGAGCAGTACTCAAGACATTACGCCAGGTAGTAGAAGAAACCCGACTCCTCCCAGACAGAAACACTCTACCATAAAACACGTATACTCCGAATTGCACAGACGATAAGAGGAACTGTACTGTTATGCGGCGCTCCCAGACATCACACAAGCATATGATAAATTATAGCACCCAGGCCTCTTGTTCAGAATCAGAGAAACCTTCCCTATGCCGACTACTGTATATTGGAATCATATCTAAAGGTGCCCATACACGTACGAGTCTGGCTCGCGAGTCTGACTCGGCTCGAGTTCCAATGAACCAAACTCGTCCGTATGTGTGTCGCAAAGTTGGGGGTCTGCTCNATGTATGGGCCGCTTAATGGATAGACCCTCTCAAGTAAAATTCAAAGAGAAAACCAAAAACTTAAAGAAAACAAAAGCAGACATACCACAAGGAAGTGTCTCAGGACCTGTCCTATTTCTTATCTACGCAAGCGACCTCCTGATATCAGACAACACAACAACTGCTACCTTCGCGGATATTACAAGGTGTGGCAATAAAGAAACCGGATTCATGCTCTAACCCTTTATTGAAAAAAAATCAGACAATCGAAATGTTATCCCCTTCAATGTAGTCGCCTCCCCGATCCCTACACCACTCTATGCGAATTTTCCACTGTTGGAAGCAGTGCTGCAGGTCATCTTGTGTTATGCTCTTCAAGAGTTGCGTCGCTTTTGCTTTCACTGCATCCACGGACTCGAACCTGGTCCCTTTGAGCGCAGACTTGATTTTTGGGAAGAGAAAAAAGTCGCACGGTGCTAGGTCCGGAGAATACGGTGG